AACTATAGGCAGCTCAGCTGTTTTAATATTTTTGATTTCTAGTCTTTTTCGGGCCTTTTCACTTAGTGAATTATAACACATATAAAATTAGATGAACTGCGGGTCTTACTTTGTAAACTCATTGAATACCTATATAATATTTCCTTAGATAAACTATAATTTACTTAAAATTTATTGCTGCATTACTAGAATTTAAGCTTTATCCAGATTTTTGCTTTTATAACTGAGACAATGATGAACATCTTTGAGCATCTATCATTGCCACATTACAGATTACTAGAAGCTTGATTCCTAAATGGAGTTTAATACTTCTTTGTCTTGGTTTTTGAAACTCAGTTCATATTTTGTCAATGGTATCATTGCCATTAGACCTGCATCATTAGTCATTTATTAAATGCCTGTAGAATGCCTTGTATTTATAGTTTGAATTCGAAAGAGTATCTAACTCCAAATCTGGTTTTAAAACCTTATATTTTAGAAGGAAGGAGAAATGACTTGGCAAATTAAAGAAAAAGCAGGATAGAGAAGAACCAATGAAATAGTACAGGAATAAATTTAACCTACCATAACTAATAGGGGAGCTGACAGGTAAACGTAAGCCAACAATATTTTGCAGTAGTTTCAAACAGGCATGCATATAGATGTAAATACTTTCTGTGTATTTCTTGTAAGATGTTGTGTGTCAAAGGTTGGCAAAATCCTTTCCCCATCTGTCAGATGAGAATCTGACCTTCAGTTAACTTTCTACCTCTGTCCCTGGTAACCTGATAAGATAGTGTCTTAAATTGGGTTTCCCAGGTAACAGATTTTGGCGAAGTTGCATGCTGGAAGTTCACTGGGGAGTTTCCTGGGATCCTCACTTGTAAGGGAGTAGGGGGGAAGGAATTTCGAAGGAGGATCTGAACTGCCCTGCCATACAGTCACCACAAAGGCCTCATCCAAATCTATGCTGACCTCTGCATCTGGGATGGCTCTTGAGGCAAGAGATAGGGTCCTTATAGATCCACATCATCGCAAACAGTCATTGAATATAAGTTGCCTCAGAAGTGGGACTGTTAATTTAGGCAATTTAACTTTCTTTGGGTGAGAACAATTCCTAGTCAGTGCCTCAGTTAAAGCTAATCAGGGCCAATACTCCCACAGCTCAGGAAATGAGTGCCATATAACTAAAAGGAGATCTGGGAAAGATACCACACCATCCACTGTGAGTGGTTGGTAGGCAACATTGCCTATGGTAGAAAATCACTTTGGGTCAGTAAACTGGATTAGAAGGAGATATAGACTACACATACTATTACAGCTTTGATCTTCCCCGGGGGTAGTAATTCTTGTAATTGGGCATGTTCCAAAGAGGCAGGAACCCGGGAAGCCATGCCTACGGAGTTTTTGCAAGAGGTATTGGCTTCTGTGGGCTGTAAGACTTTTAAGTCTGGTTCCCTCATTGCTGAGCTAGCACCCCCTGACCAAAGGGCATAACTCCTGGAAGTCCATGTGGGCTGCTACTGGAACTGCTGTGAGGCTCTCACCAATGGTATTGCCCTAAAGGCAACCTGTCATTTCTACCCTGTATTTTGTAGGGTCAATGGCTGTCAAGTGTGGCCCAAATTATTTACTTGCGCTTATAGATGACCCCCATAAGGGGATATTGTAGACGTTTTTCAATCGGTTTTTAACTTTTTAGAAAATTTGCTTTTAAAACCTAAAACTAATGAATAATGCAATGATCTTAGAGTGGTGCTGAAAATATTTAAGTACTTAGGGCCCATGAATACTTGAGGTTTCTTTTTGCTACTGCTGACAGGCCATTATTAAACAGATGTTGTCTCCCCTATAGTATAGAAAAGAATCAGTGATAATACTAATCTCTGAAAACAGTAGTTTTTATATGTGAACAGTGGAAAGAAGTGTTTGTTCTTGGCTCTTCTTTAGTCATAGATGGGTCATTTGGGCCTGTTTGACAGTTTCCCTCATATGCAGTGAGTCACAAAGTTTAGCTAATTCTTCTGTTGCAATGACTCATTCCATCCCTTTCCATTCACTCTTCTGCCACCCCGAGTAGTATTTATAGTCTTTATCACTTTATATATGTGGATTATGGAACATGCTGCCTTGAAAGTGCTCTCTGTCTTTAGGTTTTGTCTTACCTGAACTGCATTATCTGTGAGATCTCAGACTGAATTCCATGATAGAGTTTTGTCTAGCGTTTACAGACTGTTAATGTGAAAACCAAATTTTCCTGGAGCCTATATAACGTCTCAGGAAATAGTGAGAAGAAAGGCTACAAAGACAGGATTAAAGGGAAAGAGTAGAAGAAATTAGACTACTTAGGAATCTATTGTAAGAGGACCCAAACTGAGGTGGGAATGGAAAGGATGGGACAGGTAGGTTCTCAAAGAATTGGTGATTGTGAGAAGAAAGCTGGGAGAACCTCACTGAAGTCAGATCATATGGATTTATAATGTGTCCATTGGACTTGGTGTCAGGAGTAGGGAATGTAATACTTCTCAAATACTACTGCCCCTTATATCTTTATGTAACACCTTCACGAAATTGCAAACACATTAAAGAGCAGGATCATGGCTTGCTTCTTCTTGTCCTTACACACCCACTTCCAATACAGAGTATCATGGGAACAGAATAATCTAATCTATATGTCTTTATTCTGTCAATTCATAAAAGAAATTTATTACCATCACAGGTTTTTAAGAGTGTTAGCTCTGCCAGCCATAGCATGTAGAAACTCCATCTGTTTTGTGTTTACATTTCTTTCTCTTTTGGGGTGGTGGTGGTGGTGTTGGAAATGGGTTTTTTTGCATTTTTTATTTTTCAATTACAGTTAACTTTCAGTATTATTTTGTATAGGTTTCAGGTGTACGTCATATACTTCACAAATTGTCTCCACCCTCCCCGATATTTCCAGTACCCACCTGTCACCACACATAGTTATCACAATGTTATTGACTATATTCCCTATACATTTCTTTCATTGTGAGATAAAACTATAAAGACCAGGTATCTGGGTTTTGTCTGGATTGTCTGAATTTAGACCTGTTCTCCGAATACAATTTGTATTTCTGTATATGACTACAAACTTGTAAGTAATCATCCTGAAGATAAATATTTTTTTCATTTATTACCCTAAGATTTAATGAACAAGACACAGCTCTTGGTCTCAAGAATTTGCTAATCTAGCAAGCAATTAGCAATAGAAATCATTCAGTGCAATAATGGGAGCATGTGCAGATGTTATTGTGGGACATTACCTATCCTGGGGGATAATTAGGGAGACTTTTGATAGAAAGTGATGCCTCAGTTGAGCCCTGAAGATAAGTAGTAGTTATGTAGGTGAAGGAGGTGAGTGAAGTGAGGGCATGGCACAGGTGTCACTTTGGAACCAAAGGAAATAGTCCAGAAACAAGAAAAGTATGGCGCAGATAGGTTACTGCAAGTTGCTTCCTGCAGTTGGAACACAAAGAGTGCTCTCTGTTGTCTCTCATAGTGGGAAATGGGTGTCTTTTGGATCATTGTGTTTTGCAGGGCAATAGTAAGACATAGTTCAAGGCAGAAGCCAGATCATGAGAGGTCTTAATGTCATGTATACTGAGTTCGAACTTGATTCTGAGGGTAATGAAGAAATTTTGAAGGGCTCTAAGCAGGAAGTGAGTAATGTAGCAACGTGATCATATTGCATTTTTGAAAAGTTGTCCTCACTACAGAACTAGACAGAGGAGCATTTAAATGGCCAGTTCTAGAAGCAGGGAAAGTGGGCTGGAGACCATTGCCAGCATCAACGTGTGAAGTGATAGGGCTTGAACTAAGCCAGAGGAAATGAGAATGGCAAGAAGTGGATGGGTTAAGAGACTATTGGGGACAGAATCAACAACATTTTAATGATTGATTATATGTGGAGTTTGAGGAAGACAGAAATAAAATACGATTCTCAGAATTCAGCTGGAGGTCGGGAGCAAAAACAGTGACATAGGTTCACAGAGGATGTTGTTAGCCTAGTGTTGAATTGGTTGGTTTGAATTATCTTTGGGACATCCAGAGGAAATGACTTGGTCTGCAGCTATCGAGAGAAATTTAGGGCAGAGATAGATATTAGGGAACAACAGCTTTTAGGTGGCAAGTGAAACAATTCATATGGACCTTCTTAGGGAATTTATCTTTTGGTGTTAAAGCTTCCAGGAAATATTTGTACAAAATATTTTCATGATGTTTAGTTTTTAGCAGTTTGTTTTCTAATCAGTATTATTTAGCTCTTTAGGTTTTGTTTTTTTCCTTTTCACCTTATTCAGGTTTTATCACAATATGTGTCCGTTATAGAAATAAACACAAGAAAATGAAGTTCTTATAAAACTTTTGGAATTAAAGCAGCATGCATACATGCATTAAGGTTTAACAATTTAGGGAAATATGAAAGGCTTTGGGTTTATATGTTTAGATTTCTCCCAGTTCTAGAAAAATAATTGTATGGAAAATTTCTTTTTTAATGTATATTTTAAATGATATAAATAGAAAAATATTTGTTGCTGATTTCTGCTTATTTTCAGCTTACAGAGACACTTAAAAATGTATAGTTCAAATAATTTAATATAAATATTTTCAGATACACATATAGAATTATACCTGAATTTTTTAGTGTTACAGTTTTATCATAAGACCACTATAATTTTCTGCTTTGCAATGAATATCCTTAGATACATTTTAATATCTCAGATATACCAAGAATGCACTATTCTCTCAACAATGTGCTTATTTTAATATTCCGTTTCAAAAGATTATAGTAGCAGTTAAGTTTAGGAATATTTTAATAATAGTATAATACTAATTTATTTTCTAATTTGAATTTTTTAAAGTAGTCCTTTTGTGTTATTATTTTGAATAAGCCATAACCATCTTATTTCTTATGCTATATAAGCAAGCACATAACTTAATTTTTGATGACTCTGATAGTAATTAGATACAGTATTTCATATATGATATTTGTTTTTTTACAGGAAAATGGTTCTCCTGAAGAACATGCGATCTATGTGTGGGACCATTTCATAGCCCAGTCGGCAGCTGAGAATGTATTTTTTGTTGCTCACAGCTATGGAGGACTTGCTTTTGTTGAACTAGTAAGTGCACGTTTAACTCTAGTTTTAATCCCCAAACTTTCTTTAGGTTTATCGCCTCCATTCCCTTTTTGTTGGTATAATTGCTTTAAATCACTTTATTGTGGATGAAAATACTGTCTTTTGAGTAAATAATTTTATTCTGTTTAAAAAGACTATACTTAATTATTTTATTTTGGCAGAGCTTTAAAATACTAATCAGAACGCTTTTTGCCTGTTCCTTATCTAATCATAACTTTTTAATTTATACATTATAGCCCCAGTTTCTATACATTTTATAATATCTATATTTCCTGTCTTATGTGTATATCATTGACATACACACACACACACACACACACACACACACACACACACACATATATCTGTAAAGTGTTAAAAATTTCAAGAGACCCTTTGAATATTTGGGAATATTTTGATTTTTAAATAATTCTTTATTGTTGAAAGTATTACATATGTCCCTTTATTTCCCCCATTGACCCCCATCTAGCCCCTTCCCTGCCCCTGCTCTACTTCAGGCCTTCAGCACCGTATTGTCTGTGGTCTATGTCCATTGGTTGATATTTTGATAACCTTTACCTGATTTATCTCTACAAGTTAGCACTTGGTCAGAATCTATGTAATTAAAACTATCAGAAAGCTTCCATTATTCTGTTGGGTGCAAAAATATTTGCATTTCAAAATAATCTGATTGTTGAGTTAAGATTATATGTACATGATAGAAAAAATGATCAAGATTTCTGAATTTTGTCTGTATTATCTGCAATATTACAAGTACCAATGTGAATGATTAATGAGATATAATCAGTATTAAAAATACACTGCTGAAGAATTTGTGCCTTTATGCCCATAACCCCTTATGTCACAGGAAGGTACCAGTGCTACAATAAAGTGATTAATTTGATTAAAGTCCATTTGATAATTTTAAATCCAGTAGCCTCAAGTAGACATTGAACACAGTCACAGCATTAGTGGTCTTAATTTTGTTTCTAAGCTTTGCTATATATTTCTCTTTTCATGGAAATTAGATATATTTCCATGGCTTTTTAACTTCCCCACACCTTATTGCTTACCCACATGATCTACACTAATAAAAGACAAAGATGCTAATTGACCGTACCTTCACTATGCTCATCAGCCAATCAGAAGAGTATGCAAATTAACCCAATAAAGATGGTCGTTAAATTTGCATACTGCAGGCAGATCCCGCTGCACCTCCCTGCACAAGCGGCACGATCCCCAGCCGTCGCCCGCCCCAGCGCGGGATCCAGGCCTGCCATGTGCGGGGCAGGGCAGGCGGCAGCACAATCCCAAGCCTCCGCCTGCCCTAGGGTGGGATCTGGGCCTGCCTTGCGGCCCGGGGCTGGGGGTGGGGGGCAGGCGGCAGCAAGATCCCCAGCTGCCACCCATCCTAGTGCAGGATCTGGGCCTGCCGTATGTGACCAGGGGAGACGGGGCAGGCACCGCGGGATCGGGTGTGCCATCTGCCACCAGGGGAGCGGGCCTAAGCCAGCAGGTGGTTATCTCCTGAGGGGTCCCAGACTGTTAGGGGGCACAGGTTGGGCTGAGAGGACCCCCGCAACCCCCCCCATCAGTGCACAATTTTTTGTGCACCAGGCTTCTAGTTTAGATATAACTGGTGGTGACACCAGAGAATAATTTTGCTGATATAAATTTTCAAATGCTCATGCTCTCTTAAGATCAGGAAATGAATTAAATTGTTTATTTCTTCAATTGATTTTACTTTTTAGAAATGATTTCAAGTACTTTTACCTCTATTGAATTTATTTTAATATATAATGGAAATATTAAGTTAGCTAACAAACTGTTCTGATAACTTTTTAAAATGTGAATGTTTTCTTTTAAATCGTTCTTTTAATCCTACACACACATACACACACACTCACACAGCTTTCATATATGTAGCTTGTGTTTTCTTTGCACACCATTAAATGACTTAAAACATATTTTATTGACAGAGTAATAAAATATGTCTGAAAGCCTGTAAGACTAATCAAATTTAAGATTTCTGTAACACATCAATTCTCTCTCTCTCTCTCTCTCTCTATTTAAGACAGTTTATAAAAATCTTCTGTACATCATATTTGGAATTTAAGTAAGTTTTGGACAGTTTTTAAAATAAACTTAAGATGCCAGAGTAACAGATGACTAGTGTGTCACTCGTGTTTTGCCTGTCCTTCTTGTCACACACTGGTGAATATTTCTCTACTTTTGTTCCACTTTAATATAAAGCACACAGATGTTTCAGAACAAGACTTGACTTCTGACCTTGAGGCTATTTAGGGTCAGGGTCCTCAGGGCCTGTGAAATTATCACAAGCTGAGCTAAAGTTTTCCTCCATCACAGGAAGTAACCAGTAAGTAAGAAGTTAAAAAGGAGCTTTGTCAGAGAGACAAGATGGTCTCAGTGGGGTCAGCTTCTGTAGGCTGCTGTCTCAGCAGGAGGTGTATGCATGGGAGGAGGAATATAATATAACCACTGGCACATCACATATCTGTCAGGCAACACCAGGCGTCAGAAGTCCATTTAATGGAATATACCTTGTTTAGGTTTTTAAACATTAATGATTATCTCAACTTCATGTATTTGCTACTTTTTGTGAAATAACTTAGATGGGGGTATGTAATGGGGTTAGATGGTGGCAACTAAAGAAAAAGTGGTTTCTGGCCTAATGATATGGATTCCTATAAAAAACATAATATTGTGCACTGATAAGTTTTACATAAATTTTGACAAAAGTCGATTAATATATAAAGCCATTATGTTTCTACTTAATTTCAAAAGGATTTTTAAAATTCAACATTGATAAAGATAAAACAAAAAGACATTGAAATATTTTTCAGCCCTTTGCTTTTGCTTAAAGCTGAATAATATTACCTATTCTCCCAATATTCTTAGGGGAAAAGTCATGTTGTTAAAAATGTTGACAAATATTCACTCTCTCAGGATTTTTTAACAATTGTAATATCTGAAATTATTTTACATAGAATTAAAATGCTACTATTAACTTTATAAGAAAGTAAATTTTGATCATCTTCAATTATAGTTTAGATCTCTGTCTTAATAAATGTTATAAACATCAAATATTAAGTCCTTTGGATTTCAATAAAGTTAGACTTTTTAAAAGTGTCATAAAGGTGTACTCCAGTTAAAAAAAAAACAAAAACAAAAAAACTCCACACATACACAAACACACACACTCCTTATGGAATAGTCGTAAGTTGTAACTTCATGTTTGAATGTATGAAGATTGTTTTTCTACCATTCTCATGTAAATTTACATTCTTTTTGTTTAGGTCGTGAGTTTTAAGAAAATGTATTTTGAATGTAACTTGTGTAGATAGTAGAGCTTCAATAATATATGCAATTATTTAGAGTGCTTACTATTTGAAAAGAAGGTACCAGTTAGGACATATTCTAAAATGTATCCTGCAGCTTACTAAATTTAAATTGTTTATAATTATAGTTTAAAATTAAATGTGTTGCTAATATATATCTGAAAATAAATTACTTCTAAATTTAGAGCACAAAATGTTGCAGATCTTTCATATTTTGCTAATTATTGTTTTTGAAAACTGAGAACATAATTTATGATTTTATTGTGCCTTAAAGTATTGAATTTCTCCTGAAGGATACATTATTTACAAGATTTATTTTCAAAACCAATGTTCATTTTATGGTAGTAAATCTTGGAATGTGATCAAGTCCAACCTCATAAAGACAGTGTACAGTTTACTATAATAATGAGAAAAGTGATGCTAAAAATATGCCTTTCACAGCTTTTATTTTTAATCAGATGGTAACAGCTCAAGTTTCCAATTCTCTAAACTTCGGCGATTCCAGTAAGAATGGTTGTTGATAAGATAGCTCTGGAAGCAATTCCAACATTCAGTCATTAGAGGCAAAAGGGAAGAGCTACTTATTTTATGAATTGATAATCAATTTTTAAAAGTAGCATATCTGCCCAATGTTATCTTTATCTTATTTAAAACAATGTCAATATAAAAAATAATGCCAATATATAAAGTAACTGTTATTAAACCATCATTATAAGACTTACATTTTTCTGTGTTAGAAATTGTTTGATAGAATTAGTTGTCAAAATCAGAATACATTTACCAAATTCATTCAGAAAGACATCTACAAATATTGCAACTTACTTTTGCCTATATTACTTGTTTAAGTTTTATCTCATTTGTTGGAAATTAACTGTCATTAAAAAACAATGCAGTTGTAAGCTTTTTCATCATCTCTTTCACCAGCCACTTTGATGAAGTGATTCCATTGCTTCCATTGTTGGACATTTCAGAGTCTTTTGCTCTTGTCTTCCTAGGTGATAGTTTACAAGATCAAGCAGCCTTAAAATTTTCTTTTAATTGGAAATGTGTTAGCTTTCCTACTTAATGACGAGTTTTTAATCTCAGCTCACCTTACCTTCCCTGTTTGCTGCGCTCAATAAATCAATTTGCATTCATATGTCTTTTCCTAGTCAAAGAGAGTGTTGATATTTTTATTAAACAATTGTAGTAAATATATTTTATTAGTTTATTGAATCATCTCAGCTGATATAAAAGTAGTGTTGTTATAATTACTTCTACTTGCTTTTCCATGTTACTAGTGGTATGTACATAACCACCATTCAAAACCTCACTTAGAAATGTGTGAAAACTGTTCCTTTTGAAAGTGCATCTCTACCCACTTTTGATTTCAGTTTCTCCATGCTTGTCAGCACTTGATTGGCACCTTACTTGCATGTGAATTAAGGAATGAAGGGAACTCTGTTTTCCTGCTATTGTTCCATGCTGGGCTCACTAGCCTTCAGGCAGCCTAAGCTGACCTTCAGCAGTTGATAGAGGACTAGTTCTTGGACATAACTCTATGAGGACACTCAACCTCAGTCTACTCTGAATTGATCTTTTGAAATTGTTTAGGGCAAGATTTGGATTTAGACTAAAGAGAAAATGGAATGGGACTAAAAGAAT